CTCAATTCTGGGCTTCTGGGAGCAGGGCAGGGCTGTGGATCTCTTCCTCTTCCTCCCGGAAGTAGGCAGGCTTTCCCTGAGACGTGGGGGCCTGCTGGGCCTTCAGTGGACAGGAGGCCACCATATGGTTGATGCTTTGGCAGAAGTGGCACTTCTTGGGCTGGGGCGGCAGCTTGCATTCCTTGGCATGATGGTCCAGACCACCACAGTTATAGCACCTGGCACAAGACAGGGTGGTAAAGGTGAGGGAAACACGGCAACAAGTTTGAGGCCCCTTAAGGGGTGACACCCTCATCCACGTTCATCACTGTAACCACCTCTCCCTTTATTATGCCCTTTCTAGATCTACCCGATGACCTTCAGATGACCTTAAGACTCACAGCAGCTGTGGCTCACAACTTGATGGGTGGATGAGCCCTCCCCTGGGTCCCACTGAACCATCTCTTCAGCCCTAGTTTTTATTTTCATTTCGGGTCAAGGTTTCAATTGTATAGTCGTGCCTACCCTTCAACTGGTGGCAGTCCTTTTTTGTCCCTGCTCCCAAGTCCTGCATGTTCCACCAGACCTGGCTAAGGAAAGGATTTTTTTCCTTTCCTTGGTGACAGGGTCTCTCTGTATATCCCTGACTGTCTTGGAACTCTCTCTGTAGACCAGGCTGGCCTCCAACTCAGAGATCCACCTGCCCCTGCTCCTGCCTCTGTTAGGATTAAAGGCATGCGCCATCACCGCCAAACTAAGAGTTTCTAAAGCCAAATTAATATTACCTCTTTAGAGCTAAGAGGTTTTAAGCCCCATAGGAAAAACGCACACAGTAAGCAATTGGCGAGCTGGTAAGGAAACAGTAGATAACATATATGTAACATTTTACACCGTCGCTCACATACATATTCATGGTAGCCTTTGCTTCTAAAGTCAGTATGGACAGGCAGCGTCACTCCTAGCAACAGAAACTAGCCCCAGGACAAAGGGAGTTGCAAGCAACCAGTGACTGCATCGCCGAAGCTTAAATTCACTGGTAACGGGGTTCAGGTGGGACCTGTGGGAGCACCATCCTGAGCAACTTCTACAAGCCGCCTTCTGGGCCATACCTGTCTCCTTTGGATCTTCGTTTCTGTGTGTTCTTCCCCTTCGGCCGCCGCTCACTCCCAATACAGAACACTCCACCAGGGCCAGTGACACGAATGGATTCCAGACCCTTGGCTGACTTCTTAAAGGTGAACTCTACGGCCTCACCCTCCTTGAGGCTTCGGAAACCCTCCATGTGCAGCTTACTCTGGCAAAGGGAAACACAAGATTTTACTGTAAGACAAAACTGCGAACATTTACCTGTTGCATGAGACAGTAACCCATTTCACAGATGAGAAAACAGCCCACGCCTGTCACCCAATCATAGGGTCACCATAAGAACAGCAAGGAATCGCCTCCATTCTTAGGAAATACACATTAAGATACTTAAACAGAAACATACTTAATGCTGTATTTATGGTTACTAAGGAGGCTTTTTGTGGTGGCACAAGGTTCTAATCCCAGCACTTGGGGGACAAACGCAGATGGATCTCTGAGGTCGAGGTTAAATTTCCCCATGCATCAGGATGAGTTCCAGGTCAGCCAGGACCATAGTGAGGCCCTGTCTCTCCCCACCACAAGCATACCCCACCAATAAAACATAAACAAAAAACACAGAGATAAAGGGATACAGTAAAGAGGGCAAAATGTTAATGGAAGATTCTGGGGGAAAAGACTGAGAATATGTCTGTCTATTCCTGTAATCTTTAAATCTGAAATCATGAAAATGTTACTGAAAACAGATGTCAGTTTCAGGGCAAGGATTAAAATGGAATGTCACGGAGAGATTCCAGGAATGTGTGGAGAAGCTAAGAGGCCTGGAACTCCATCTGTTGAGCAGACTGACCCTAACTCAGATCCACCTGCCTCTGCCTCCCAATTGCAGGGATTAGAGGCATTCACCACCACCCCACCACTGTCCAGCTCAAAATGCATCAGGAGGAATTAAATACCTATTTGGTAAGAATAAGAATGGCAAGCCAGCATTATTGACACAGCACTAATCTCAAGGCTCAGGAGAGAGGCTGAAACAGGAGGAAGACAGGTTCAAGGCCAGCATGGTCTCAAAACAGAAACAAAAAGTCAGATACAATCAGACAAATCTACAAGAAGCTATTACTTGGGGGAAAACTAAACACATACTAGTGTACCAGGTATGGTGGTACACCTCTAGCCACCCCACAAAGCCAGTACTCAGAGGCCTGGGCAGAAAGCACTGCTGCAGACCAGCCTGGGCTACGCGGCTTCTTCAAGGTCATTTTAAAAAGGAGGCGGCTGGCAGGGTGTGGTTCAGTGGGTAAAGTCAGTTGCTGCCAAGCCTGAAAATTTAGTAAGCTCAGTCTCTGGGCCCAAGAGATGGAAGGACGGACGTGGTCTTCTGACCTCTACATGTGGCATGCGTACTATATACACCTAGGCATACACAAATTAAAAAAATACAAAAGCCAACAGGTTTTGTTGTTCATGCCCCATTCTGGTCCCTCATCTGGGTACATTTCTGGATGAATTAATGAAGTATGGGTTTCTGGTTTTTGAGACAGGGTCTCACTATGCTGTTCATACGTGCCTCAAATTCATGATCCTCCTGCCTCAGCCTCCAAGTGGCATGATTCCACATGTATTCCATGGCAATGAATTAGATTTTTATCCTTTGACACCTGTGTTGCCCAGACTGCTCTCAGATTTGTCAGCTTCCAAGTCTCCTGCCTCTTGAGCAGCTGGGGCCACGTGTGCACACCCAGCAACAAGGAAACAGACTGTCAACTACTTGATGGGGAATGATGATCACGTCCGAAATAAAGACTTAGTGCAGTTTGCAGAGTCCAGCTCCTTTAAAAAGGAGCCCCGAAGCCCCATGCTCTCGGTTGCCACAATTAGCACAGCCCAGACCCTACTGTTTATTAGTTCGGGAGGTAGCACTTCCCAGAACAGTCTCTACACAGCTGGAACTAGAGTAAGCAGTTCAGTGTGTAATTACGTCAAAAGTCCCTCGCCTAGAACACAGGACTCCATGGTAAGAGTGTGCTCATATAGCAGTCAGTGGCTCTCACTTCCAAGAGAAAAAAATGCTTGGTAGTGCATTCCTTTGATCCCAGCAGAGGCAGTGTATCTAAGGCCAGCCTCATCTACACAGATGGTTATCTAGAGACCCTCTTGCCAACACACAAACACTCACAGAAAAAGCACATGAGCTCAGAGAAACAAAGGGACCGCTGTGCACCTAGCCAGGACCATCAGCATTGATGAGGTCCACTGGTATTCTAGCTGGTAGAGTACTTTACACTAGGACTCTAGGAAAATAAGCGAGAAAAAAAAATTCCTACTAGCCAGGTGGGGGACAAATTCCTCCATCATTCTAACTTTTGGGATTTTTTTGGGGGGGGTTGTTTTTCAAAACAGATTTCTCATGCTGGGCGGTGGTGGCGCACGCCTTTAATCCCAGCACTTGGGAGGCAGAGGCAGGAGGATCTCTGTGAGTTCGAGGCCAGCCTGGTCTACGAGAGCTAGTTCCAGGACAGGCACCAAAAACTACAGAGAAACCCTGTCTCGAAAATCCAAAAAACAAAAACCAAAACAAAACAAAAAAACAGATTTCTGTGTAGCCCTGGCTGTCCTTGAACTCAGAGATCCGTCTGCCTCTTCTAAAGCTGCGCCTCGCCAGCATCCGACCTAGCTTTTGTTTGAATTTAGTTGACGGCACACAAACCAGACCTCCATCAAGGGTGCTGGTGAAGAGCACAGACTTGGGCGCCATACCCGTCCTCCAGGCTCAACGAGGTCTTCAGTGTCCTCAGCAAAATAGGCAAGTCCTGGTTTCTCCTCTTTTTCTTTCTTTTTAAGACAAGGTCTCACTATGTAGCCTTGACTGGCCTAGAACTCACTATGTAGACCTGTCTACCTAGAACTCAGAGATCTGCTTGTCTTTTTTTTAAAAAAAAATTGTTTATTTATTATGTATATAATATTCTGTCTGCCTGTATGCTTGCAGGCCAGAAGAGGGCGCCAGACCTCATTACAGATGGTTGTGAGCCACCATGTGGTTGCCCGGGAATTGAACTCAGGACCTTTGGAAGAGCAGGCAATGCTCTTAATCACTGACTGAGCCTTCTCTCCAGCCCGATCTGCTCGTTTTTTTTTAAGTGTTTATCCTGCTAAGTAGTCCAGGCTGGCCTTGAACTGGAGATCTTTCACCTAGCCTCCTGAATGCTGGAATTAACAGTTTAGGGCCAGAGTAGACATCATAAAACAAGCAGGCCATTTCAACCTAAACAAAGTCCAGATTCTGAAGGGCATGGACCTACTAACCTTGCATGACTATTTGTAATTATTGCATCACAGAAGATATATTCTTTCACTTTTTATAAACGGTGCTTGGGATTGAACCAAAATCATACACATGCTAAGCATACTCCACCCGGGTCTCTCCTAGTGTTTCACACCCACAGAAACAGGCAGGGATGGTGACTTCCTAACCCCCTGCCTCAATCTGATGTGAGCAAGGGGAAAAAACTTAAAAAGGAAATACAAGTATTATAAATATTCAATAGGACCCGCCTCTCAGCCCCCACTGCACAGAAACCACCCAAAAACCAAGAGGAGCTAGCGAGGGAGGTACCTGGGGAGCCAGACCAACACACTGCCTTCTCCCCGGGCGGGCGATTCCAGCTGTGATCCAGCTGGTTAAAAATTGAGTTTAGGAGCTTGTACCCTCCTTTCTCATTTGTAAAATGGAGTATACTCTGACTTCATGGTGAGGCTGTGAGGTTTTACACATGAAAAGCAGCTGACACTTCACCAGCCACGTGAAAGCCTCTAAGAGCACCAATTATCTTACAGACTAGAGAGAGACAGGGTACCAGTAAGAGCCAAGTGTTGGGATGCTCAGATTAACTCTGCTTTTATTACTAACCATTCTTGGGAACTCAAAACAAAACAAAAAAACCCAATCCAGCCCCTCTCTGAGATCCAGCTTTGGGAGAACAACACCTCCCTCTTCTACCCACTCTTAAGACTTCTGAGACCAGGGGGGGGGGCAGTATAAATGGTAAGGCAAGGAGACTGATGAACCCCCTCAGCTCCTCCACCACTAGAGATCTGCCTAAGACCGCCCCTGCAAGCACCTCAACAGGAAGGCTAGGCAGGATTTAAACTGATGGTCTCCAGGGGTGGCTGCCCATCCCCCTCCCCCCACTCCTTTCTAAAACATAGTTTGAATTCTTCCCTTATCAGATAGGTAAATCAGTGTGCAGCCCCACCAAGCCAGACTCCCAGGGCCAGCATCTAAAAGGAGCCTGAAAATTCTTCTTCCACCCCCAACCACACACAAAGCAGGGCCCCGCCTCTCTCCCCATCCCCCTCAAAAAAAAAAAAAAAAAAAAAGCAAAGGCCCTGGGGGGGGAGGGGCATGGCCTGAGCTCCCCCAATAGAGCCCTGCCCCAGGGAACAAAGGGTTGACACTGGTTGGTTCTGGTGGTCGGATTCCTGGAGTTCCAAGGCACAGATCCCCCTAGGATGGCTCTCTCCCACCCTCCCCCACATTCAAATCGTACCAGTTCCTTCCTTCCTCCACACCATGGTGGGGTGAGAGGAATGGCTTCAGAACATCTCCAGTCAGACCCCAGGAAGGGGAAGTTTGCTAGTCAACTAACAGCCATCTTCTCTCTGTCCCCCACCCCAGCACCCTCCCTGTACCTCCAGGATGGACTAATAAAGAGGACGCTTCCCCTAGGGCGCCTTCTGTCAAATCCTTCCCGCAGCAGATAAATATTTCAAGGGGAAGAGGGCCAGGAATCCCATTTTCCTTTCTCCAACCTGTTGGAGTTAGTCATGTGGGCAGCCTGGCGGTGGGGGGAGTTACAGCATTTCCTCCCCCCATGCTGCTCTTTTTGGTTACACTCTTCCGGGCTTTTCCTTCTGTCCTGAGGAACCCCCACCCGCCCCTACATCAAATACCCCACTCAAGTATCAACACCTGACTAAACCCACATATACCATGTCATCTAAGAAATGTGAGCCAAAAAAAAGTAAGTAAGCAAAGGGTCGGATTGAGCTGTGACTCTCCTGTCTCTTGTGGCTTGCACAAACCATTTCACTCTGCTTCTTTCTTTGTGGGAGACTTTGCAAGCGAATTTGATCGTATTCCACCCAGTTGACCAGGACCAAAAGAAGGGTTTCTCTGCTCTTCTCCGGCACCTTGGGACATTCCAGGTTTGGGTGACCCTATGCATGTCTCTGACCAATTCTAGATTGAGTAACCAAAATACATATCAATGCTCACTTTAGACTGAGCAGGGTGCTAAACACTCCTGCCAAAATCATGCGGCATTACAACCAGAAGATTCATAAATGCCTTGAAGGTTAGCAACGTGCTCAAGCGGAGAAATCTGACCGGAAACCCTAACAAAGTGAGGAGACTAGCCCAGTATGTATTTGGGAGAGCCTGGGACAGAAGCTCCAAGGAAGAACTACAGATAAAAATAAGCACCTTGATCATAGGTATCAAGAAAGGACAAGTGTTGGGCTGACTGCCCCGAGCCTGGTCTTGCTGGGTAGCAAGGTCCAATAAAGGCAAGTCGGACATCTTTTCTTCTAGCTGTGCTTTTTAAACTCCTAAATGCCTTTTCATCTGAAAGACTCAACACAGTGGTGACACTCTGGTGCCAAGGCTTCACCCAAGCCTCACAGGTAGAGGCACAGAGCTTGTTCTAAGGCTAGCTGCCATTCACCTCTGCTCAGCAGCCCAGAACAAATGCTCCTCCGCAGCTCTCCACCAGATGGGGTATCAGCCTGCGCGAGGCTCTGAACGGAGGGCACCTACACCTCGGCTCCTTCCTCATGGTGGTTTTTCCTGGTCCTTCCATTCCTCAAGATGCTGGAGATGCAAGGACAGCAAGCTCTCTTCCCATCCAACCGCGATCCTCGGCTGTGAGCAAGGAGTGCAGGGTGCTAATGGGAATGAAAAGCTTCCTGAAGTTTATGCCAAAACCATAGAAGAAAAAGCCATCATACTGGTTTCTAACAGCAACGTGAAACCATGCTTAAAAGGTCTGTACCATTATGAACGTTTCCTGCTGAAACCTCCCAGGCTTGGACTACACAGGCTTGCTGCTCTTCATGCAGATGTAAGTTTCTCCAAAAAAGGAAAAAAAAAAAAAAAAAGAAGGAATGTTTGAGCCCTGGCTATGTTTGTGCCTTACACCCTGGAAACCACTGACAGTGCAGGCAGCAACCTCACCATTAACAAGGCAGACAGTTGCCATATTGGAAGCTTTGTTTGGGACGGTGGCAAAAGATCACCCAGGCTGTTCTCTGGAGGCATGCCGCCTCAAAGAGAACACCAAAATATTTGAAGATGCCAAAATAACACACGGGCTTCTTTATACCAACTCTACAAAAACCCATATTTTTAAGCCACCTTTTCCCACTGACATGGGAATGACAGGTAGTGTTCCTGGGCTTGAATCCAAGATGATCTTAATGAAGCCAAAGTTCTGGGGTTTGGAGTTGTAAGCTGTCAACATGTACCCCACAAATACTCATGGCACACTATACGGGGCCAAGCCATGGTAATCAGCCCAGAAAGAAAGCAGTCTCATCTACCACCTTCCCTGTCTCCTCTGGTGAAGACACTGTCTACTCCTGGTCCTCCAGGGTCCTCTCAAGATTCCCTCACCTGTTTTCACTTCCATAGTCATTCATTTAGATCAAGAATGCAGTATAAAAATCACCTAGACGGCTGGGCGATGGTGGCGCACGCCTTTAATCCCAGCACTTGGGAGGCAGAGGCAGGCGGATCTCTGTGAGTTGGAGACCAACCTGGTCTACAGAGCTAGTTCCAGGACAGGCTCCAAAGCCACAGAGAAACCCTGTCTCGAAAAACCAAAAAAAAAAAAAATCACCTAGACAGTCAAGTTCTTCTCGACAGGACATTCACAATGGTCAATCCATGCAATGTTATAAACCAGGAAGGCAAGATCCTACATACTGTCCCACAACCCAAGTATGGTATCCCAGCCTCAGGTATGTGGTGTAGGTCTAAGTCATTATAGCTTAAGCAGTTTCAGCTTCAATTTCTGTGTCAATGTTGAATTTTTGTTCAAACACAACTTATAGTTCATTATAGTCTTCACCTGGGCCAGATGGTAGTTGTGCACACCTACAATTCCAACACTGGAGATACATAGGTAGGAGGATGGAGGCTAGCCTGTGCTACAAAAGAGCCAGCCTTAGCAAAAAACTATGTTCTGAAAATATGCTGAAAACCAATACTTCCTACAAATCTTGGTGGCCTACATTTTGAGCCACAGGAAACCAGACTTAAACCAAACCTTAAAGTGGTCAGCAACTTCCCAACCATTTTTGATGACTATCTTGCTGTTTCTCAACTAGAAGTTATTCTGCCTTCCAAGAGATATCTGGCAAGATACGGAGACTAGTCTAATCAATTCCCGACATAGATTTCAAGATCTAAAGGGACCAATGGCTGAACCTAATGGGTATTAGACAAACCCGTGTCAGAGCCTGATCTGCCTACTCTTCTCCTGGAAACAGGATGAGGTATATGCAGATCAGACAGAGGAGAAGGCCAAGGCAAAGAAAGGAGTGTCACCAAACTATAGGTCAGCTTGGCTAAAGTGACTCCCAGGCCTGCCTGTACTACAGTGTAAGCCGCTGCCCCAAAATGTAAGAATGTGTGGTATGTGGATCTGCACAAGGGCAGTCTCTAACAGGGTGCTGAGAACCTATCCCCTCACTCTTGGAAGGGTTGATCCTGAGCCCCTCCCTTTCCATGGCATGACAAATGTCTTGAGTTTCTTTCCTCCCTTCCACCCCACCGCCAGAACATAAAGTTCCATTAAACACTTCTTCCTCTGCCTCGCGGACACTCTCCTTAAGTAAACAAGTTTCAGAGATCACCTGTATCTACAACATTCCTCCAGCATGGATAACTCGGGTCACCAGCCTAAATTACGCCAGAGTGTGGGACCAGCCGAGCAACCTCAGGCTGCGGTAAAACACCAATTACAGTGAGGGGAGAGTGCAGGTTAGGGAGGAACTTCTTCAAATATGGGTGCCAGCCAGGAGCTGGGCCTTTAGTCCCAACATCCAGGAGGCAGAGTCAGGCAGATCGAGTTAGAAGCCAACCTGATCTACAGAACAAAGTCCAGGCCAGCCACAGTTAAAGACAGTGAAATTCTGTACCCTCCCCCCCTGAAAAAAAAAAAAGGAGAAAGAAAATATAGGAAACCAAACACACAAAAACTTCAAGTTTGGGCTGGTGGACATAGCCCTCCAGGCTGGTCTATACTGACTGCTTCCCCCCCCCCATGCTCCTGAGTCCCTATTGCTATGATCCTAAGTCTGAGGCACACCACCAAGGAGCCTTAGCCTTTGGAAGGAATCTAGAAAGCTTTGCACCTCCTTTATATCCCAGCCTCCCCAAATTGGGAAAGCTGTCCAGCCCATCTCCAGACCAGGAGAGATCAGAATCTCTGTGATCTGATAAACGGGAGAGTGGGGGCGGCTTGCCACCCGCGGAGGAGGGCCATTCAAAGAGGGTTCCTGCAATAAAGTAATTTAATAGATCTAAAGAGGCCAATTCCCTTCTCTCTCACAATTACTTCCTGGGAGTTATCATTCACATATGTAAATGAGATGGGGGGGCACGAAGCCACCATCCAAAAACCAGCAGTCTGGTAGTATAGAGATGGGGGGTGGTATTTCAAGGAAGTAGCTAAAGGTACCGCTGTAGGTCCCTTAAACACAAGTTCCAGAAGCCCAGCGACCCTAGCACACCAACAGCAGAGCAGAGAGCTGGTCCCAAAATTCCTTCAACCCAAATCCACCTAGTTTCCCCTAACAACCTCCTGACTGGAGGGCAATGTTCAGTCTTCACTGCAGCCTCCAACCAGTCGGTCCAGCATCTCCTTCCCCACCCCTCCCCCTCAAGAACGCCATCCCTCAGGCTCCAACTCTTAATCCCCACATCCTCCTTTCCCCTCCCCCACAGCTCCTAAAGCTAACCTCCCTGAAGTAACCCCTCCCTGCCCGGACCGGGTGTCAAGCTCCAGGGCCAAGGATTAGCAATTTCTTCTCTCCTGGTCCAGCCTTAACCACTAATGTGGGAGGCAGGGTAGCGGGAACCTCCTAACCATCGAGGCTCGGGGAGCACTTGAACAACCGTCGGATGCTGGGAGATAAAGGCGAGTAAGGAAGAGAACCTGGAGACTCTACTATTCCCTTCCTTATTTAGGGTTAGGAATGTTAGGGACAGCAATCAATGGCTGTCTGGGGCCATAAATGCCAAACTGAGAATAGGACTAGAGGCCAGCCTCCTTCCACGGCCTGCCCCTCGACACTGAATTTCACTCCCCACTGCGCTGCCCTTCTTTAACTGAGAACTTGGGATTTGCACCGACCCAAGTCTCCTTCCTAGACTGGCCCAGCCAGGAATGAAGGCTTCGCTTAACGTTTTCCTACCTGGCAGGACCTGGTGGACAGCAGAGGTGCCTGCCAGTTTTGAACCGTAACCAGCCTTCTAGGGGAGCTTTTCAGCCACACGCTCATCCTTCCGGGATCTGCCAAATCTATTCTGGCCACAGGACCTTGCTTTTTAGGTGGCCACCTGACTGAGGTCTGCACTTAAAACAGGGGAAGAGCCTGACTTCGCAGGTTCATGCCCGTGGGTAGGGTGGCAAACTAGCCACACTCCCCTGCCCTGTGAACTACATTCAGACCTTCAGAACTCAAGGCGCTAGCGCCCGATGCAGGCCCTGCATGTGCTTCCCTGGTTGGCCTGCTCGCCCTCCCCCACCGGCAAGCACAATACAACCTTAGTTTCTGCCACATGGGGTCACCTCCCTGCCCCCTGCTCCCTTCCCAGGGGAAAGAGGTAATAGACACGTGGTAAGCCGGAGGGGTTCCCGGAAGGGGGCGGGGAGGGGGTGCTGGTAATCAGTGGTGCCTCCTCCTTGCTCCACCGTAGTTACTCGAAACTCAAAATTGGGGTGTCTCGGCAGATAAGGACGCACAATGAGTGTCCTTTATCGCCTCCAATCCAACAGGAGCGGCCATCAGCCAAGCCCATACATATAACACCCAGTTTTTCTTTTTCCTAGCAAAGTTACCAGAATCAGTCTCACCTGGTGCACAAAGACGTCCACCGGGGGGTCGAGCGCGACCCCGGCGCGGGCGGTCATGGACAGGAAGCCGAACCCCATGCGCACGTTGAACCACTTACAGATGCCGGCCCCGTGCAGCAGCTGCGGCTCGTCTGCCGCCCGAGCCGCGTCAGCCGGCGCCTCCTCGGGCGCCTTCTCCGCTGCCTTGGCGCAGCCACCTGGAGACAGGGAGGGCCAGGTGATCAGCTGGGGGCCAAGACATCGCAGGGCCCTCTCTGGGACCCGTCTGGGAGATCTCAGTGTTGAGCCCGCGATAGACACCCAGGAGGAGGCAGCTACCAAACAGCTGCTAAGAAGAAACCTGTCCAGACTGCCTCCCCAAGGTTAAACCGAGGATGCTGAAGCCCCGAAAGTTTTGCATGTCTTCCCACAACATGTTGCCCGTGCACATGCGGCGGGACAGGCCCCTCCTCTTCTCTCCCTCCGCCCCCACAGACTCGGCGCGCAAGCCACTGGAACACCAGGGTTCCCTGCTCCAGAGATGGCCCCAAGAAGCAGGAGGCCGCAGGGACTTGGGGTCCCGCGGGCAAGTCCGTGGGACACTTTCCCACCTCCCTTCTATTTAGCTCTTGGGCGCCCTGCACCCTAAGGTGTGCCCGCTGAATCGCATGCTCGAACCTGCAAACTGCTGGTTGGACACTGAGCCCATGGTCGTCGGCTGAGCCCGTGGCCCCGGGCCCCAGGTCGGGCGGCTGCTGGCCCCAGAGAAGTCCGGAGGCAAAGGGGTGGTTCGGAGAAGAGGCTGCTACATCTTCCCCCGCACAATAGCGGTGGGAGGGCCCACGGCTTTTCAAAGGCTCCCAAATTCTAAAAGACAATGACCCAACCCCCCGCGGGCAGCCCCCTCCCCTCCCCTCTCTCATTACCCCTCCCTTTCCCTCCGGCTCTGGCTCCCGCCCTCCCCCACTGCTCTGGTCTCTGACACCTCTGGGGTGTCCCTTCCCAGAACCTTGAGATTTGACACCCCCTCCACGTACGCATATCAGGACAGGGGGGTCTTTTGCCCTAGGAGTCTTTAGTACTCCAGAATTTAGGGTACTGCACTTTAAGGACTCAATGCGGGTACCTAAAGCAGACACAGGTGGGGGACCTGGGGGGGGAGTAGTTTTATAACCACGTGAGCACACACACAGGTGGGGGACGGGGGGGTTATAACCACGTGACCACACACACTCCCTCCCCAAATTCCCCCCCCCGGGCAGATAATTATACATTCCAGAGAGTTGGGGGAGGGAGGTGTGAGCCTGTTGGCGCTGTCCAATCAGAAACACAAACCACCTGTCAAGGGAGAAATGGATGAGCCCTCCCCCTCCCCCATCCCCTCAGCGCCCCTCCCCCCTTCCCCCTCAGGCCTCTGAGCTGACCCGGCTGCTTGGCGCTGACCTGCTCTCACCCCCCACCCCCGTGTGCTTAGATAGACCTGGAGTTCTGGGCACTAGGAAGCCAAGATATGGGTGCAGGGAGGCGGCAGGAGAACCCCACAGAGCTGATCTCTCTTGACCTAGGTGCTGCCTCTCAAACTCAGCCTGCCCTCTGACTACAACTAGATGTCTCCTTCTCCAAGTCTCAAGATCAGTTCCTCTGGGTTTGTCCCAATCAGAAACAAGCTGCTAGTTGATTTGTGCAGAGAATCCTTTGCTTCCTTCCCAGCTTGCATCTAAAGTTGGTCCTAGGTAGAGAGCTTCCTGGGAGAGCATGGGGGAAGCCTGGGCGAGTGTCCTCTGTGATAGCTGCCTCCTCATCCTGTCCGGCGGGTCCCGTCCTGTCCCATCCCTTGCTGGCAGAGGGTGATACTGTGGGTGGAGGCACTTCCTCCAGTACCCGGGAACTGCTTCCCAGACCCTCCTGCTCTCAGTCACCTTCCTAAATTGCGCTCCCCTCCGGGTAGCGTGGCTGGTGGAAGGACTGGATAGGGAGGTTTCTCATTTGAAGAGGTAAACTCCCTACTAGAAGATAAAGAGGGTGGACCGGGGGGTGGCCACTGCCCTGGTCAGAGATGGACAATGGCCCGGGGCTCAGTGCACGGCCCTGGCCCTGCCCCTTCACTTCCGGTGCTCAGTTCAAACTGGACAATGCCAGCTCCGGACAGTTCCCCTCCCCCACCGCTACAACCCATTTAAAGGGACAGAGCCTGCTTTCAGGGGCATCCGCTTACCCTGAATTCAGGCTTCTCCATGAATGTGTAGAATCTCTTGTGGTTCACACGCTGCAGCTGTGCGCGTGTTGGTGCACACTCATAGGCACGTGTGCATCTGAGAACGAGAAAAAAGATAATGGAAGATAGGGAGGAGAATCAGTGACTATGAAGAATATTTTCCTCTTCCCTAGGAAGTGCTTTGCACGAGGCTAAAGTTTTGAGCGTAAAATGTATGAGATAGGACTTTGGAGGATCAAAAAAAAAAAAAAGACTCTGGTGAGCCTTCTGTTACTTAGCTAAAAAACATAAGTATCATTAACAGGGCCCTATTCCCAATGGGACTGGTAAATCTTTCCGGAGTGTAACAACCGAAGCCCTCTATTTGCATAACCCGCTCCCGTGAAGCAGTACCTTTACGATAGCTACTCCCTGTACCTCTTCTCCTGAGCTTCAGAAGTCGGTGGCTGAGGTCTTCTGAAGGGGTGTAGAAAAACAAGGCGGGCGCTCAGGTTTCTCTGTGACACCAACGTGGTTGGGTTCCCTCGCAAGCGCGATCAGTTGCTCTGTCCAGGGTCCTGAGGGAGTCTGTGGCTCTGTCCTTGGTGCTGAAAACGCTTCCCAGTTTCCTGCCTTGAGAACTTCCTTTGTTCTCGCCTCCACGTCCTTCCCAGAAGGCCTGGTTTCCCTTTTCTCAGAAAGCTTGAATGTCCCCTGGCACACATGAGGCAAATAGAATCTTTCTTTTTTCTTTTTTTTCCCTCCAAACAGAGTTTCTCTGTTTAATAGCTCAAGTTGTCCTGGAACTCTCTCTGTAGACCAGGCTGGCCTCAAACTCACAGAGATCCGCCTGCCTCTGCCTCCCGAGTGCTGGGATTAAAGGTGTGCACCACCACCACCTGACTTTATTTTTGCTTTTTATTAAAACAAGTCCTTCCTGCATGGCACATGCTGGCCTCAATCACATTGAAATTCTCCTGCCTCTGCCTCCTTAAGAACTGGGATTACAGGTGTGTGTCACCTGCCTGGCTCAATCTTTCTTTTACATTTTATTTTATTATATGTGTATTTATGTGTATTTATATGCCATGCATGTACTTCTGCCCTTAGAAGCCAGAAGAGGATGTTGGGTTCCCAGGAGCTGAAATTACAGGTAGTTGTGAGTCACAAATGTGGGTTCTAGGAACCAAATTAAGGTCCTCTGGAAAAATAATCCGTGCTCTTAACCATGGAGCCTTCTCTCCAGCCCTGAATATTTCTTGAATACTGAAGAGGAAATTTCTAGAAGTAAGTGATTCTGTTAGAGGATTGCTGTTGAAATAGGAGCGGCAGGGCTGCGTCCCCGGCACCTGGCCGCCCGCATGGCTAGTTTATACCCAGAAATAATTACACGGAAACTGTATTCTTTCAAACACTGCCTGGCCCGGCTAGGTCCAGTTTCTTATTGGCTAGCTCTTACATATTGTTCTAACCCATTTCTAATATTCTGTGTAGCCCATGAGCTGGCTTACCAGAGAGGATCTTAACCTGGATCTGTCTGGAGTGGGAGCATCATGGCGACTCACTCACTCAGCTTCTTTTTCCCAGCATTCTCTTCTGTCTACTCCGCCTACCTAATTTTCTGTCCTATGAGGGCCGAGGCAGTTTCTTTATTATTACAAGACCCACCTCCATCAGATTGCAGGCATTGCAAGCTCACCTTTAGGAAAAAACAATGTTCAAGCCAACTCATGTGATCATAAAGAAAGATATTACCTTTGAATATGATAGTTTATTTACTAATAATTTTAAATTAGTTCCATTATTGAAACTAATTGTAACAGCGTAAATGAATGCAGATAGATTGTAAAAATATATACAACTTTAATGGGGAAATAGACTTACAGAAAACCCCAGGAAAGCAGAAGCAGCAGCTGGGAGCAGGCACGCCAGATTTATAGGCAAACATTAGCCCAAGGCAAACACGCCCCCTAAGGGGCTGGACTTATCCCTACAGAAACATACCTTTTGTCTTTCAGTTTTGGTTTTGAATTTGTTTGTTTGTTTGTTTTTGAGTCAGGGTTTCCCTGTGTAACTGCCCTGGCTCTCCTGGAACTCTTTCTATAGACCAGGCTGGCCTTGAACTCACAGAGATCTGCCTGCCTCTGCCCCCTAAATGCTAGGACCAGAGTCGTGCTCCATCACCACCTGGCTGAAAAGCACTTTTTTTTTTTTTATTTTCGAGACAGGGTTTCTCCGTAGCTTTTTGGTTCCTGTTCTGGAACTAGCTCTTCTAGACCAGGCTGGCCTCGAACTCACAGAGATCCGCCTGCCTCTGCCTCCCGAGTGTTGGGATTAAAGGCGTGCGCCACCACCTCCCAGCGAAAAGCACTTTTTTTAAATTATTGTTTTGAAGCAGCGGTGTTCCCTGTAGCCCAGGCTGGCCTCAGGCGGACTGTATAGCCACAAAAAACTTTGGAGTCCTAATTCTCTGCCTGCATTTCCCACATGCTGAGATTCCAGGCATGCACCACCACACCCACCTTTATGCTTTCCTGAGAACACAGGTGCATTGACATTGCCCGTTTTGTTACAACTCTGTGATCTGGGGCAACTTTCTTACTCTCTGTGTGCCTCGGCTTCCTGCCCTGCCTGGGGGAGATATTGAGAATACCTTGGTGCTCAGAGACAAGAGACGTTGTGAGAATGAAGGGCAGGGACTAGGTATTCCAAAGGCAATGTTTTCATAATAGTACCTTGTTGGGGAATATTGTTTTCAGGTGTGTGTGTGACTTTGTTTAGCTGCACTTGATTAACTGTGAAGCTGTGATTCTTTGCCTGTCTAAAACACCTGATGGTCCAATAGCGTGGCAGAAACAAGGACAGGCGGAGCTAGCAGGCAGAGAGTATAAAAAGAGAAACAAGGAAGGGAAAGAGGAGCAAACAAGAGAACAAGGAGGGGAGGATACCAGGGGCCAGCCGCCCAGCTACACGCAAGCCACAGAGAAAGAAGTAAAGAAAGGTATACAGAAATAGAGAAAGATAAAAGTCCAGAGACAAAAGGTAGACTTGATAATTTAAGTGGGCAAGAAACAAGCCAAGCTAAGGCTTGCCAATCATAATTAAGAATAAGCCTCTGTGTGTGATTTATTTGGGAGCTGGGTGGCGGGCCCCCCAAAAGCAAAAGAGTAAAACATCATACAACAGTACCTGACATGTGGTTTTTAATTCCTTAAGTCATTACTGTTATAATGGGGATGCCGCTCAGTTGGGAGATGCACAGGGCCCTGAGTTTGAGCCCTAGAGCCAAGGCCTGGGCTTGATACACAGGCCCTCATAAAATTGGGCATGGGGCTGAAGAGGTGCCTGCTCTTCCGGAGGACTGGAGTTCGATTCCCAGCACCTACAGGATGACTCACAGCCATCTCTAACTGTAGTCCCAGGTGATCCAACACCCTCTTCTGGCATCTGCATCTCACACTCATGTCAATCTTCCTGCCGCAGCGTCCTGAATGCTAGGATTACATGTATGAGCCAACACACCCAGCCTGAACAGGTTTGAATTGAAATAAGATACATCATCAAAATAGTCCTAATCCTCGTTTTCCTCAGCTATCTTTGTAAGTTCTCTTCCCAGAACAGC